GAAAGCTCAAATGACTTAATTAAAAGCTCTGTTTGACAAGAGTCTGCATCATTGTGTTACTTTTCTGAGTGTACTAAGTGTCCAGGAACTGATAATATTATAAATAAATTGGAACTATTTCTCAACAACCATGAAATAAATGAAATTACATACAGCCAATGGAAAAGTACTGATAGGTAAAGAAATTTTCAGTCAAATGTTATTTTTTTTTTAATTTTTGTAATTATTCTTATCAAATAATTTTATATTTACTTGACTGAGTAATTAATATTTTTTTTATTAATTAATATTCTTTTTAATTAATAATCAAATTATTAGATTTTGTATGTTTAAATTGTTAATTTTTTTGATTATCCTTTTTTTATTATTACTCAATTCAGTTAATTTATTTTGAATTTTTTAGAACTGAAATCATTGAAGAAACGAAAACGAAAAAAGATTTTTTTAATGATTTAAGACAAAAATGGCCTGAATTATTGAGACATGATTTTCTTGCACGATCTCAAGCGTCATATTTTACTGACAAGAAGGAATCTGTTGAGGATAGAGAATTTATTGTTTGCCTTGATTTTTCTGAAAATTATACTTTTTCTGTTCAAAATGCCATCCAATCTCATCATTGGAATAACAGTCAGGCTACAATTCACCCTTACGTTGTGTATTATAGAGAAAATGAAGAAATGAAACATATAAACTACGTTGTCATTTCGGAAAAAGTTAGTCACGACGCGAGCTCTGTTCACCTTTTTAATTTTAAACTGATTGAATTTCTAAAAAATAAGTTTGGAGAAGATAAGATAAAAAAATTTCCTATTTTTCGGACGGAGCTGCTTCTCAGTACAAAAATAAGTATAATTTTGTGAATTTAATAAATCATAAAAAGGATTTTAACGTTGACGCGGAATGGAATTTTTTTGCTACTTCTCACGGGAAAGGGGCGTGTGATGGTTTGGGAGGAAGTTTTAAAAGGCAAGCTTTTCGTGCAAGTCTTCAACGGGAAAGCGATAAGCATATAACCAATCCAACTTCATTATTTGAATGGGGTAAGAATGCATTTAAAAAAATTAACTTTGGTTTTTGCTCCCAAGAAGATCACGACTCCCATGAGAAGAAGTTTAAATTACGTTATGACCAATGTGTAACCATAAAAAATACACGCCAATATCACCATTACAGAGCTGTTAATAATACATCACTCGAGTGCAAAGTTTTCTCCAAAGCCCTAAAAATCGTTACCAATAACGTTTTAAAAAAAAAGAAATAAAGCAATAAGTATGAGTTATAAGAATTAATTTAAAATTTTTTATTTAAATTCTTTGTTTTTTATTTATAAAAAAATATATAATTTATTATCTCTGTCATTTGTTTAAATAAAATTAATCATAAAATAACGATATCTTTAATTAAAACATTAAGTATTATTCCTTATTTATAATTACAGAGTAAATCTAAAGGTAAGTCAATGACGCGCGGCAGCGCGCAATACCGGCAGCGCTGACCGCCCGTCATAAAAAATTTTTTTTTGCTTAATCTAATCGCGATCAGTCAATTTTTTTTGCGGATTTCGTTACTTGAATGTTTATTGCAAAATACTGAACAAAAAATTTTTCATTTTTTGAGGGAGAAGTCATTAAAATTTTCATTTGTTAACTTAAAAGTGAATTAACAATATGCAAAAAAAAAAATAATTCAAATTCATACATATTTTCTTAAAGTACAAGTATTGAACTAAAACTCCTGAAAATTTCATTAAAAAATCACCAATAGATTTTTCATTATTAATTTTTTAACTAAAAGTAGTAAAAATTTTCAATTAAAAAAAAATTGTTGTTAAAATTAAAATTTAAAAAAACTGAGCGGGGGATTATTTGTTCATGGTGACTACTTTCTGAAAAAATACTCACATTCAAATTCGATGATCAAGTGGAAAATGGGGGGTCCACTTGACGTGTTTTTACTCAAATATTAATAGAGAACTATCGATAGTGCTGGGTTACGATTAATCGATAGTGCGCTTCTAACACCATCGATAATATCGATAGTACTATCGATAGTTTTAAATTTAATATTGGGGGAATAATAAACAAAAATAAATCACAGGTCGAGTATCACGAACACTTTTGGGAACCCCTTGCACGCATATACCCATAGAAAACCTCTGTGTTATGCTCGCACAAACGGACTTTAAATTATATAGATAACTATTTCGCACAGCAAATGTCATGTAGTCGGTAAAAAAGGTTGCTTTAAAATTTAGTGACTTTCTACTTATTTTTTTAATATTTTTTATTTTTAATTATATTTAATATATATTAAAATTAGAAACTTTAAGGCGATGAATTTTTAGCGGGCGATTTTCGGTGACTATCGTTCAAATTCCTCTGACTATCGATATATGGCGATAGTGGTTAAACTATCGATAGTCCGATAGTTGCCATCGATAGTTCTCCACCTCTATAATATTTGATGAAGGCAATAGGCCGGCTAGTGTTTAGTTTTGCGCTAGTGATTCTAAATTCATTTCTTATTCGCCCCATTTCTCTAGCATTTTTCCCAACATTTCATAACTAAAGTGTACTCGGTACTTTGTACTCGTATGGGTACTCGAGTACAACGGTACTGTACTTGTACTTGGTACTCGAGTACTTTTATATAAGAGTACTTGTATTCAGTACTTGAGTACTTTTTCATTGTACTGGGAACAGCTCTGCCTACTTACTAAAATATCGTTTCCTTCCGAATATTAAGTAAAATAGTTTATGTTTAAATGTTATAACTAAATTGTTTTAAGTTATAACCAAAATGGAATAGGTTATTAATTAGGTGTTTATTTTTCGGGTACAATTTACATTAATTAACACTTAAATAATAAACTACCGGTATACCGATGTACCAATGATTGAAAAAAATTGTGAGACCCTTTACCTATTAGTTATTTAATTAGCGGATTGAACAGAGCCAGTCGATGCCCGATTCCTGTCCGTTTTAACGCTTTTATTTTCGAACTGGTTTCGAGATCCCATTTAAAGTTATATCAAAATTTAGGGAAAATTTAGGGAAAAGAATAGGCATTTTTTAGTATTTATTTAAAAAAAATCAAAATGGTCCCATTTTGAGAAAGAAGTAAAAATATTTTTATAAAAATGTTTCTTAGCCAAAAAATTTTGTTTCGCTTTTAAATCCACCTCAGGGCTCCCAGCAGTCCATGTTGCGAGAAACAGTGACTTAAGAGACTAATAATAAAAAATAAACGACCAAATATAGACCAAATTAATTACCGAAATAACTATAAAATGGAGGTTTGATTTTTTTTTGGATAAAAGATCTAAACACAGTAGCTTGTGTGATAAACGACATAACGAAAGGTCGAGCAGGTAAGACGACCTTAAAAATTAAATGATAATAATGCAAAAAATCTGATTAGCGATGCAGGCTATTTGCTTAGCTACTGTGTCGCGCGTTGGAGGGAGGCGAGGCCACGCCCTATACGTTTCCCTATATTCGGTTTTACTCTGAACGGGCTGTATTAATTAAAAATTAAAGAAAAACTATAAAAAATTAAAAATGGTTAATGTTTAAATTTGTTTATAAATTAAATCGACTCTTCGATTTTTAGATAGAGCGAAATGGTCAATTACCTTTTCTTTAAAGGAAGGATTTTGACGAAATTGATTGACCGTACTTTTCTCGATACCATTATAATAATAAAATAAAAAAAAAACAAAGAAAATATTAAAGCAATCTAACCCAAATTGCGAAACTCAAAAACATAAATTCGTTTTTTAAAACTTTAAAATATATATCTGGAACTTAAAAATATATTTATATGGATGGATAAAAATATACATATAAAACAAATAAAATATCAGAGAAATCAGTATACCCACCCTCTGAACTCTAATTGTTTTTGACGCGGCCTAATAAAATACAATGCCAACAGAATAAGCTTTGTTTATAAATACTCGTAGCCACTTCGTACCAACATATTTGAAAAGTTCGTGAATATTGATTACCCTGCCTCTTATTGTTAAATATTCCTGAAATTTTTGGCGTTGGACGACTGCCCAATATCTCTCTTTTTTCAGTTTCGTTTCTTCATGTCATGAACAGGATTCATTAAAAAAAAACAGAACTATTTAACTAAATAAAACTTGTTGGTTAATAAAAAGTGCTATTTTCCTGAAATAGAAGGCATCCCAAAAAAAAGGAAATTTCCAGTGAAATCCCTGTGGAAAATTATTTTGGAACAGATATTAATTGTTTTTTTTTTTTAAGATAATTAAGTTTATATACCTAGTTTATAACTATATCAAATATTTTGTAAAATAAAATTGTATTTATATAGGCAGAAAGACTTTGGTCGATAGCCTTTTGGTTTTTCCAATAAATATATTTACTACTACTACTAAAAAGTGCTAATTACACCTGTGTAGCGTGTATGTGCCTGGTGCACCACAATAATAAAATAATAAATTTTACTAATCAAGGCAAAAACTATAAAACATCAGACAACAGATTTAAATACCTACTCACTGGCTATAAATATTTTGATTCTTAACGCTGTAGTGGGATGATGCATGATAGATTGATTTTTTACTTTTAATTGCGTATAACTGTAGTAAAAGTATATTTGTAGTAGGTAAAAAGCTATATACAAAAGGTCATTACTCATTTTGAGGGTGAAGCGCGGCTTCAGAGGCCTACCCTGAGGAGCTGCAACTGCTATGCTTTTTTAAACATTCTTTAGGTCAGGCCTATTATTCTGAATGCAGTACAGTACAGTAAATTTAACTTATTTACACTTTGTGATGCAATAAGGGGACATCCATTAATACATGAGACAAAAATATTCTCCCATTTTTATAAATATAAATATAACTATAGTTCTAGTGCACCTTTTGTGGCAACATTACTTTAAATTTAAAATTTTTAAAAATAATAATTTCGAAGTGATTACTATGTACTACTGTGTATATTATTTTGTATATTTAGCTACGTACTTCCAAGTTTCCTCCAACATTTCCAAAGGGTGTATCCCACTTCTATCCATAATCTGCAAACATAATAATCTATGATACTGATTGTATGCAAGGCCCTGACATTTTTCAGAACAATAATTAACACCACATTGAGAACAGGAAACAATTTTGGACTTTTCTGTTGTACAACATTCAGGATATGGCAATTCCAGACTTTGTATCCCTGTTAATCTCCTGGCATTTTCTTGTGCTGTTTCCAAAGGTCTAAATCATTACATTACAAAATAATTCGTACAAAAATAGATGAAACATTACTTTAAGCAATGGTTACAAGCATTATAACCATACAATGCATTCCAAGGAAATTGACAAGACACTAAAGGATCTTCTTCGAAAATAATTGAACCCTTTTCGATTTTCTTTGTGGCGTATAAACCTTTTCCTTTAATATTATCGGATATTCTTACTTCAACATTCATTTTGCCTAAATAAGCATGTGTTTACTCGGTAAAATGTTAGGTTATAATCATTAGAGATGTGACGAACCGTATGTATTCGGTACAAAGTAACGGGTACCTCTGGGGTACTGGATGAGGTTCGAAATACCGATTCGTTACTTTAAAATACGTCTCGTTACTCGCATCGTTTCGTTAGGGATGCGCATCGAATACAAAAACATCGATGTTGGCATCGATGTTGACATCGAAGTTTGAATATCGATGTCATCGATATATCGGGTAGAAAACATCGATTTTTCCAAAAAATCGATGTTTTAAACTAAAACACAAGTCTAAGAAAAACATGTATAAAATATATTTATTTCCAACTTATAAAAAAATACACATAAAAAATAAACAAAATAAACTTAAATTCTCTTTTTTTAATTAAAAAAAAAAATAAAACTAAATTATTAGCCAAAAAAAGTAAAGTTAAATCCCAATTTTGCCTATCCAAGTTCTGTAGAAACAGTAATTTAGACAACAGTAAAGTCTAACATCGATGTCATAAAAACATCGAAAATGCAAGATCGATGTTAAAAAATCGATGTTCACTTCAATAAAATCGATGTTTGACTAACATCGAATATTCGATGCGCATCCCTAACGGCCATGCGCCAGGCTGAAGCGTACGCTCACAGCACTGTGCGTACGCTGTGCATGATACACTGTGTATTATACACAAATCATAATATGATATTATCAAACACAAATATATCAGCTGATCCATAGACTAGGTGATCTATGCCGCGCGTTGATTTAGGTATTGTTTATTTTAAAGAGTTATTTGCAAAAAGGAAGGTTTTTATATGGGTTTTTAGTTTCTTTACTTTTCCTCACAAGGTAGGCGTATTTATGTTTTGTTCTTTATATATGTTACTGTAAAGTATAAATTTAAATCTTATGTTTTCTTATGTATATGTCAAAGTACAGTCAATGAAATAAATCATATTTATACGTTTACCGCTTATGTGTTAAAAAATAATAAATCTTTATAGTGGAGCATAGTACCTATTTAATGTGTAAAAAAAAATATTGTATTGTAATTGTTCTACAGGGTGTAAATGTGACAATTTTTGTAATATCATTTGGTAAAATGCTAAGTAAATGTAATCAAAATTTATGTTTTCTTTAGGCAGCGGCATGTATAATAATAATTAAAGTATTATAGTAACGAAAGTAACGAGTAACGAATACTTTATAACGAATAGTCACAACTATATGAACTCGGCAAAGTAACGAATACATGCGGGTATTAGTTTTTTCGTTACTTTTACATCTCTAATAATCATAGATTAGGTTAGGATTGGTTATAATTCTTTCCGGCGGAGTTTCCGCCCTCTATTTACAAAAGCTTTAAGCTTGATGACAGCTCAGTGTTGCCAACTCGTGGGAAATTTCCCGTTTCGTGGGAAATTTAAAGTGGCAAAGGGAAAAGGGAAATTTTAACATAAAATCCTGTATTCGTGGGAAATTGTAAAGTCCAATCAACATTCATGAAAAAAAAAAATTACCGAAAAAATGTTTACTATAGTAGTATTATACCTATAGGTATATTATATATAATAGGTACTACTTTTTCTTTTAAAAATAACAGCTTAAACATATCAAGTTGGTGGACAGCCAAAGTCAACAAACCAGCGGCCTAATAGTGACGTCACTGATGATGAGGATACATCCTATGTGAATCGTCACAAACTTGCGTACATAGCTTTCCTGCTCTATGCGCGCTTCAAGTTTTTCTTACAATCAGCGTTGCCGGAAGGCCAATGCTAAATTCCTGGCTTAACTAAAATCTATTACTGGAAATTACTGGCAAAAAATTTACGTTGTATTCCTGGCAGAATACTTTTGGTTTGCATACAATGCAGTTAATTTTTAATTTTATTTTTTTAGCAGGGTATTTATAAATACAGTGTATATACTCCGCATCACACTTGAATGATCTAAGTTGAATCACAGTTTTACAGAAATTCACGCCATAAAAATTTTCGTTTCAACTTTATAGTTTTTTACTGGTTAATTCCTGGTTCACATTCAATTACTGCAAAAACGGCAACCCTGCTTACAATTTGAAATATACTCGGGGATTTACCGAATTATTCGTGCGATTTGTAGCAAGTGGGCCTGTGTTTTATGAGCTGTATAAAACAAAAAGTGTCAGATTAAACTAGTTTTTATTTACAAACGCAATTCGTAATGTCTAGTTTATCAAATGAATGATTTAAAAAAAGTTATCATTTTTTTAATTTAAATTTCTCCGTTTCTTAAAATATTGTATTTTTCTTCTTAAAAACAAAAAATACCCATGCCAAAATAAACTTTATCATTTTTAAAATTCGTGGGAAAATTTACGTAAAAAAGGGAAATTTTTACCCTCTTTGTGGGAAATTTGATTCTCAAAGGTTGGCAACACTGTGACAGCTGTCAGCTTAGTCGATCATTATTAGCATGGCTAATTTAGCCATAGAATTTATATGTTATTAGCAGTTCTTTGCAATGTTTGAATAGATGTTCGGTGTTGCAAATTTTGCATAGAGTATAGCAGAGACAAGGGAGTATAGTGTTCTTTGATTATTTGCAGAGATAAACTCTGATTCTTTGGTTCACAGCTGACAGCTGATATAAATTTACTTATAATCCTTAGAAGAAACTTCTTCTAAGTTATAATCCCAGTCCTGGTTTTGTCTGGTTATAAATTATACTTATCCGTGTCAAACTTGGTTTTTATTATGGGTAGTAAAAAGTTAAATATTAACAACGTGTTTGTCACTGTTGGGACAACAAAGTTTAAAAAATTGATTGAGACTATATTATGCCCTGAAATAATCGATATTCTAATACAATTGGAGGTTAAAAAGGTAATTCTACAAGTTGGGAATGATTGGTCTATAGGCCACAATTGTTCAAAATATATAAATTATCAAATAACTGTAGAGGAGGAGGAATCCAAAATAACATACACAAATCCATGTGGAGGGGAAATAGTGTTTGAATGTGTTAAATATTTGGAGAATTTTTTGGAAACTATACAGCAAAATGATCTTATTATTAGCCATGCAGGAGCTGGAACTTGTTTGGAGGTTTTAAATCAAAATAAACCTTTAATTGTTGTTATTAATGAAGACTTGATGAACAATCATCAAACTGAATTGGCTAAGCAATTGGAAGCAGATGAATTGGCTTTTTGCTCTAATTGTGATACATTGAAAAATGTTTTAAAAGATATTAAACCAAGAAAACCTTATATAGTAGGTGATAAAAATGTCTTTGGTAAATACTTGGATCAATGTATGGGTTTTGTGTAAATAAATCAATAACTTATACAAATTCTTTTATTTGGGAATTGTAAGAAAATTTATAAATTAAAAACAAAAGAAAAGAAAAACTACTCTATTTACACCAATTTTTTAGCTTCAAAGAAACTCTTCAAATGTTTCATTTGCCAGGCTCCCATAAGCAAAAGAACAGCTGTTTGAGTGACAGACCACCATAAAACTCTGGAGTTTGTGCTTTCGCTTGTTTGCCTAAATCTTTCTTCACGATACTAAAACAAAAACAATAGTCAAAATATTTTTATAATGTATTGATAAATAAATAAACTATATGAAGGACCATTTCAAAATTAAAAAGCTTAATTGCCAACTATACTCATCCCTGGTAATTTATAATATTTGTAAAGAGTTTCTTAAAAACAATTCAATTTTTTATACCTAGGAGCTAAATCGTTTTTGTTTTTTTTCTACAAGAAAGAAAAGAACTACCTAGGTCCTAGGTAGTTCTTTTCTTTCTTGTAGAAAAAAAACAAAAACGATTTAGCTTTGCAACAATTTTTTTGGGGAAAGATCTTTAAGTAGAGTAATATTCTTAATAATATTATTATCTTCAAAAACTTCATATACCTTTTTGACAACAATGTCTACCCAGTCAAAAATTTTATTTTGGCATAATGCAGCCAATATTGGTATTGCCAAAGTGTAAACCACCAATTTTTTACAGTTGATTTTGTAACCTAACTTAGGTTTAACATTGACCTTATAACACTGGACATGTAAACCAGCATCAAAATCACTGCATTTATAAACAGATTTCTTACCCTTTGGTAATTTTGCTCTTTAGTAATCTGCTCAACTTGATCAAGAAGTTGCCGAATCCTCAACTGCAAATCAGATAACTTTTCCTTTTGTACAACTTCTCCATAATTTATGGCATGTTCACCAACTTGAATATCAAGATGTACCCTCAATTGAGATCCACTGAACCAGGCACTGCTGTTGGAATACATGCAAATAACGTGCTCTCCTGGCGTATGAGAGGTGAAAGAGATTTTTCCTTCAGAACTGTACACTCTTGACAAGATTGTTTTGTCATCTGGATCCCTAACCTCTACATGCATTCCAATGCCTGGAGAAGAGGGCATAAATCCTCCGCTTCTTGGGTCATACAATTCCACCTTATAATTTACTAAAAACATACGTTATTATGCCATAACAATAACACCATATTTTGCAAACCTATGACATTTGTTTCATCAGGAATTTCTTCTATAAAACATTTTCGCTCAGTTTCTCCAATATGGAAATACAAGGCATTAGATAAATCAATTACAACAAATATAACAAACACAGAAAATATACTTTTAAGTAACATGTTTTATTTTTAAATAAATTACACGTCAGCCCGACAAATTTTTGTACAACTGTCAAAAAGATCAAAAACTACAATGCGACATCTGTGGACATATTACGGAAGTATAGTTACAGGAAACTCGGATTTCTGCAAAAGTGAAAAAATTGGGTTGAATTTGGTAATTTCTTACGGTGAGAGATTTAATCCGTATTAAAATTATATTAATATTGAGCGTTTCTTAACTTTAAATAAAAAATACTTACGATGTACTTACGATTTAATTTAATTTAAAATGCATGCATTGCGCACTGTAGTTTTATTTGTTCTTTGAGGACGTATTTTGCCTAAAAAAATAAGCATCAAACATAAAAAGTTTCATAGAACATAAAAGATGTTTGTACTCCTGTCTCTAGCAGAGATAAGTCTCTAGCAGGGCTGGATGCTCCCGTGTACGAGTTTTGGTTCGTCCCGCGCATGACGTCACTTGATGAGTAGTTGCCGTGCGAATACACGAATAATAGTAATATTATCAAAGAGAATAGAGAAATTTCTGGACATAGTTCGTTTTTATTAAACTTAATATTGAAGAAAGTGTTATAATATGGATAATAAATGCTTTCAGTCCTTGATAACATTTAGGGCTGTAGTTTAAGCGTTGGTGTTTTAAATTAAACTTATATAGTCACTGTCCAGAAAATGTTTATAGGAAACAGAAGCGGTCTTAACGTAAATATTGTCTATTATTTTTGTGGCATTTAAACACTGTTTCCACAAATCAAACTTTTTCGGGAATCGATTAAATTTAATGTTTTTATTTAAAGGGTTTTTCTTGGACTGGTTGTCCGAATTGCATCCAAATATGCCACACCGCATTTTAATAAATGCAAATGGCACTATACAATCTAAAACACAAACAAAACAAGTTAACGCAACACAAAAACAATAATAAACAAACCTAACAGGTTAACCTAACGCAATAACAATAATTTGAACGCTGAAAAGTAATTCGAACCTTACCGAACACAAAAACGACAAGTTAGACAAAAAGTAGAGCAAGTTAACATCCAAAAGCATCGCAAAAACAAGAATTTTAGCAGCAGATAATTAAAAAGCACGTTAAAGATTTAAAAACACTCATCAAGTGACGTCATTAAGCCCCGCCCAACATGCGCACCATCCTATCTTAAGGTGTATGTATCTTGAGTCTCTAGTCTTCGTGATTAATTGACCATATGCAAGGAATGCGGTCGATGTTGCCAATGGTAAAAAAATAAAATTTCCTATTGGGAACATTCAATTATTTTACGTTGGCTACATTGAAAATTTGAATTTCCCGCACAAACTAAATTAATTTCCATGTTTTTTTTAATAATAATAAATAATAATAATTCCCACATTTGAAATTCGCACCTTAATTTATTATACAACATTGGAACTACCTTCTTTATCTCTGGGAACTACTAGAATGTATGTCAGTTTCTGCGGGAAATTCAAAATTTCAGTGTAGCCAACGTAATATAATTGAATGTTCCCAATATGGAATTTTATTTTTTTACCATTGGCATTGGCATTGCATTCCTTGCATATGGTCAATTGACCATATGCAAGGAATGTTGTCGATGTTGCCAATGGTAAAAAAATAAAATTCCCTATTGGGAACATTCAATTATATTACGTTGGCTACATTGAAAATTTGAACTTCCCGCACAAACTAAATTAATTTCCATCTTTTTTTTTAATAATACTAAATAATAATAATTCCCACACTTGAAATTAGCACCTTAATTTATTATACAACATTGGAACTACCTTCTTTATCTCTGGGAACTACTAGAATGTATGTCAGTTTGTGCGGGAAATTCAAAATTTCAGTGTAGCCAACGTAATATAATTGAATGTTCCCAATACAAATTTTATTTTTTTTACCATTGGCAACATCGACCGCATTCCTTGCATATGGTCAATTCGCAAGCGTAAGTGCATGCAAGGAATGCGGTCGATGTTGCCAATGGTAAAAAAATAAAATTCTCTATTGGAAACATTCAATTAAATTACGTTGGCTACATTGAATATTTGAATTTCCCGCACAAACTAAATTAATTTCCATCTTTTTTTTAATAATAATAATTCCCACATTTGAAATTCGCACCTTAATTTATTATGCAACATTGGAACTACCTTCTTTATCTCTGGGAAGTTCCCAGTGGGAACTACTAGAATGTATGTCAGTTTGTGCGGGAAATTCAAAATTTCAGTGTAGCCAACGTAATATAATTGAATGTTCCCAATAGGGAATTTTATTTTTTTACCATTGGCAACATCGACCGCATTCCTTGCATATTGTCAATTGCTTCAAAAATATAGTGAAGATTCCGAATTTTATAACCCGAACAAACCGTTGATAGAGAGGTTCTTCTATGAAACCGTTTTTCAACGTGGAAAATTGCCATATAAGAATGAGGGGTAGCCCGTTTCATATAAATGCGAATTGCCGTTAATTTGTATTCAATTTTTAATTTTATAAAATCAGTAAAAACCGGTAAACTTTACACCTCTTTTTTGTATCATGTTTACACCTCGTATAACAAATCGTCGTGGGGAATTTTAATGAAAATAGGTTGGCAACACTGCATAAGTGTGGGTTTGCGGCGCAAGTTGCGCCGCGCAACGTTTATAATCTGTTGGTTTGCGCAGAAAAATTACTTGTAGTCAGAGATAAACTAAACTGCTTGTAGTGATTTGTTAGTGGATGAATAATCAATTTAAAGCCCATATGAAATAGTTAAATCATTGATCAACGATTAAATAGTAAAATGAAAGAGGCATCACCACCGGTTTCCGCTATGGCCACCCCAACAAATGGAAGTGGTAATTTAGTGGACGAATTTGAAGAAGCTTTTCAGGTATAAATTGTCCCTTAAAGCGTTGTTTATAACTTGTTATTAGTTATAAAATGTTGTTGTAATTAATGAAGGTTTTTACTTCTAAGACTTGATTTTTAAAATGTTTTAATCGCAGCTGAATTTTCAGCTTTATTAACTCTTCTGTTTTTTATTTTAGCATTGCCTTAATGTCCTCACCAAAGAAGAAGCAGTACCAACCTCGGATAAGGATGAAATTAAAGTAGAAGTTGAACAAACCACCTTACGATTTATAGACTTGGCTAGATAGAGAGGTTCTTCTATGAAACCGTTTTTCAACGTGGAAAATTGCCATATAAGAATGAGGGGTAGCCCGTTTCATATAAATGCGAATTGCCGTTAATTTGTATTCAATTTTTAATTTTATAAAATCAGTAAAAACCGGTAAACTTTACACCTCTTTTTTGTATCATGTTTACACCTCGTATAACAAATCGTCGTGGGGAATTTTAATGAAAATAGGTTGGCAACACTGCATAAGTGTGGGTTTGCGGCGCAAGTTGCGCCGCGCAACGTTTATAATCTGTTGGTTTGCGCAGAAAAATTACTTGTAGTCAGAGATAAACTAAACTGCTTGTAGTGATTTGTTAGTGGATGAATAATCAATTTAAAGCCCATATGAAATAGTTAAATCATTGATCAACGATTAAATAGTAAAATGAAAGAGGCATCACCACCGGTTTCCGCTATGGCCACCCCAACAAATGGAAGTGGTAATTTAGTGGACGAATTTGAAGAAGCTTTTCAGGTATAAATTGTCCCTTAAAGCGTTGTTTATAACTTGTTATTAGTTATAAAATGTTGTTGTAATTAATGAAGGTTTTTACTTCTAAGACTTGATTTTTAAAATGTTTTAATCGCAGCTGAATTTTCAGCTTTATTAACTCTTCTGTTTTTTATTTTAGCATTGCCTTAATGTCCTCACCAAAGAAGAAGCAGTACCAACCTCGGATAAGGATGAAATTAAAGTAGAAGTTGAACAAACCACCTTACGATTTATAGACTTGGCTAGACAAATGGAGGCATTTTTTTTGCAAAAACGATTCCTATTATCAGCTCTTAAACCAGAAATGAATGTAAAAGAAGACATAAGCGAATTAAGATTAGAATTAGCTAGAAAAGACGAATTACTGAAAAGACACTATGACAAAATTGCAGTGTGGCAAAATTTATTGGCTGATCTGCAGGGATATCCAAAAAGCCCTGCACAGGGTAGTTCAACACCAGGTGTAAACAATGGAGGATCAGTTCCTCCTTCACCAATGCCTTCTATTCCAGGAAACCAGCCAACTAATCAAATGATGCCAAGCATCTCACCTGCAATGCAACAACAGCTGCAGCAACAGCAAATCCAGCAGCAGCTTCAAATGCAGCAGATTCAGCAGCAGCAGTTGCAGATGCAACAGATGCAGGTAGACCGACGTTGATCTCATCAAGAGCATGATTGTTGTAGATATTTATTTGTAGAAAATTATGCATTTTTAGTTTTTAATTATGATTATTCACTTTAAAACCAGCCTATCTGAATATAGAAAGGATTCATTATTTGGAGACATAAGTGCAGCCTTATTACTGGAAGTTGTATTAGACCTAGAACACATGTAAGACTTTTATTTATTGCAAATATATTTTTTGATTCATAATACTCACTTTTTGTAATATATTATTTTTAGACTTATTGCTATTAAATGTGTTCTACATGTTAGAATAAAATGTTGTCTTTAAGAAACATGTTAATAATATTTCTTAGGACAAGTCTACTGCCCTTGTAGTAAACTCATGTAATTTTGTATACTAACTCTCAGGGTTTTTAGAAAGTGGCAATATTTGATTATGATCAAATAAATGTGATATGTACAATCTAGCTTATTAAATTGTACTAAAAAAATGTAGTATACATTGTCTACTTGCTCAAATGTGCCTTTATTAGATATTTCAGTTTTATTAATAAATGTATTTCATATACTATCCTTAAATTTGTATAGTCAAATTTGTTGCAAATCTCTAATTATATTATTTAATCTCTCTACTTAACATGTAAAGCAGGATATATTATAATAAAATTTACTGAAACTAATTATTGAGTTTTATTTTACTTTTTTCCAACTAAACATAGAGGGTTAGTATTGAAAAGACATGAACACAATTTCATCTTAGGGAATCAATAATCTATTTTTAAATATCTACATTAATCTAAAAGAATTGCTCTTTTAAATTTTAATTATGCAACACTAAATTAATATCAATTTTAAAACTTTTATTGCAGGAGTCTCTTCAGGTTCCCCCAGGCATGTCACCCGGTCTGTCCCCAGGGATGTCGCCCGGAATGTCACCCGGAGGAGTTGGTCCAGGCATGATGTCGCCCCAGCAGGCCATGTTCATGCAACAGGGTATGCCAAGCAGCAGAGGAGGCCCCTTTGCGCAACAAGGAGCCGCTGGAGTACTGCAAGGTCCGTTGGCTTACTTAGAAAAAACTACAAGTAATATAGGTAATTTTAATGGCTTTATGTAGCCGTAGATTTGTCGCGAAAAAGGATCTAAATTATTTTTTAATAACGTGTTTAGGTACCTAAAACAGATTTATTCTCTAAATTTCCGCGAAGAAAATTTATAATTAAACACCATACGTAAAAATATCTAATGGTAAAAAACCCGGTTTTTTTTTAAATTAAACCCAACCTTCTAGGCATTTTGGGTTTTATAAGTGGGTTTTTTGTTTTTTTTAATTCTATACAATCGGCCATTTCAAGCGCGCGAAACGCACGAATTACAAAACTGTTATTATAAAAAAAATTGTAGATTATTTATTATATAATATTTTGGCATCAAAATTGGCAAAAATATTCTTCTTTTATTAGGTTATACATTAAATAAAAAAAAACTCAAGAAATATTTTATGAAAGTAGACATAATTTTAATAATTGAAAGGTGTGGACGGGACAAAAAAAAGATTTATCTTGTCCCGTCCATCCCTGTCAATTATTGAAATTATCTCTACTTTTATAAAATATTTCTTGCGATTTTTTTTATTTAATGTATACCCTTTTAATAGAAGAATTTTTTTGACAATTTTGATGCAAAAATAATATATAATAAATTAGCTACAATTTTTTTTATAAAAACAGTTTTGTGATTTGTCCCGTCCATCCGCTTGAAATGGCCGCAATGTCAAATAATATGCGTTTTGGTAAAAAAGAATCATACAGAAATTGAATTGGCAGTTACAGTCCGCGGCTTGCAGTTTGTTGAACATAGAGATGATGGATGGGGTGACATTCGTTAGACCGCTCAACTTAGCCTGAACGGACAGTAATTCTAATTTTAAAAAAATATTCGTGAAATAGTCTTGCCGAATACCACTCGTGATAAAATTTTCCCTGACCAAATTTTTTTAATTTAAAAAATTAATGCCACTTGCGAAATTTCCAAGAAAAAAACATTCAGATAAAAAGCAAGTGGTATTATATGGGGCAAAACACCTCAAGTGTTCCAACCTAAAAATGATGTTTCCTCCGATTTTAACAAAACTTTGCCAAATCATTGTCCTATTGGACTACCTTAATTTTCCAAATGGGGGGCAAAAAGGATTAGCGGGTTGCAGAGATACAGGGGCCTGAAAATTTATTTTTTTTCTCGTGCGCTTCAAAGACGTCGAAATATTCATGTATATAATAATTTTTTTTTAAATTGATAATCAACATATCGTATAGCATTTTTTCCACGCTTTACGATAAAAATGGTCTCGAAAGCGAGACAAAAATTTTTGGTTATAAAAAAACGATTTTAAAAATATATTTGTTTTTTTCTCGAAATGCGACACATTTGATTTTTTTTAAATTAATATCAAAAGAAAGCTTTTTCAATTCCCTAAATTTTGATGTAATATGAAGATGGGATCCCAAGAATAAGTCGAAAAAAATAAGGGTTAAAGCGCGTAGGGACCGTGCGGCGAGCAGCTACTATAGTACCTATTGCAGCGGTGCTCGGTCTACTACTTAGTGGATTAATTGGAGAGGGTCAATACAGTTTTTAAAATTATTTTTATATAGAAATAAATGTATTTTTCGATGGGTTTAAGTCAAAACAGCACAAGCGCCATAGAGAATTTAATTCTCTATCGACCTGCAGGTTCAGTCAAGTGCATTGCGAGGTGGTGGGGTGAAAATTATTGCCTTAACATAAACAAACTTATTTGGGTATTTCTTACCTGAACCGGTATAAGATTTATTGTTTTATATTTATTTTGATGAGGTTTGACGTTATTTTTGTAATAATATTTTTTTTAAATTTTATCAATACCAATATATATAATACATAATTTAGACTTTTTTAAAGTTAAACATAGGCTTTTTGGCATAAAATACTACTAATTTTTATTAAATATAATACAAGAGGACGTGAACAAATAGACATAGAAAGAGCCAAAACAAAATATGGAGAAATGAAAATAAAACATCAAGGGTACAAACTATACAACAAATTACCAGAGAATATAAAAAACCTACCCGAGACGACTTTCAAAACCAACTTGAAAACTTTTATTTTGCACCAAAGAATATCTACTTAATATATTTACTTATTTATTATTTATCATATAAATCCAATATTATACATACTTATTTATTATATTATATTTATACTTATCCGATATTATCGCTACTGTGATATTTAGGATGTACTTTTTAAATAAATAAAAAAAATTAAACAAGTGTCAATAAACTTATTCGCAATATATAGATATTATCTAAAATTTGTTACCCACCTACGTACTGTAAAAAATATAAAAAAATTGAATAAAATATTTATAATTAATAAATTAAAAAATAATGGAATAATTAATTTAGTACCATAAAACGGGGCGACTTGATACACTTTTTGGAATATTTAAGCACACGCCGCCATCACTATGACGATTTGATTGAAATAAAATAATATTTTAGATTACTTTGGGGTATTGGCTACCGGGTGAAATACCTAAAAAATTATACCCCCCTCTACTCTCAAGAAAAAATATATAACGGCTGTTTCTTTAAGTCGTCCCAGGCTGGGGCGCATTAACATTGTATTTGTAGAAAAATATTGGGGCTACTTGAAAGATAGAATATCATATTTTATATATCCTGCTACGAAAATAAGAAAAATAGTTTTTTTTTTAGGAAAAACAGTTTACTGTTCGGTTTGACCAACAAATAATTTTGTGTGTTTCCCTTTATTTTTTCTATATAAAGTTTAAACGCAATTTTATATTCTTCACTTGAGTCTCTTAAATTTCGACCCTGGCTTTCTTTTATATATGTTAAGTCGCCCCTGAAATAAAAAACAAATAATACGCCACTAATAAATTTGACATGAATATAAAATTTTGGGATTAGATTCTAACCGTTAGAATATGAATGCCTACTAAATTACTGTCCAGGAAAAAATATGTCATTATTAAAGCCTTTTTAGGAATCTCTGTTTAAAAGAAAGTGTGTTAAAAGATTATTTTTTTTTATGTAGGTGCACAATAAAATCAACAGATATAAATTAATCTAACTAGCATGCTTGTTGTTATATTTTATAGCTATATTTTGATATTCAATCTTTAACCCCTAGATAGTAGCCTGTATTTTGGTCAAGCGCTGCAAAGAGTTTCAAGTCGCCCGTTTTACGGTATTTCCTTTTAATTTATCTTTCTTACCGAAATATTCAATTCTCTTGATATTTGCGATATATTTTGCCCTTCCTCATGCAAAAACTTGTGACCTTGGTTAAGATAGAATAAATTAAGTGGTTAAGATACTAGAGTAGGCGGAGCTATGACTGAGCATCGCAAGCGATTTTTGAATTGCCTTGGTACTGACTTACTGACTTATTGGCGCTTGTGACGTTTTGCCTTAAACTTATCGATTTTATTGCAATATTTTAAATTAATAGCAATTAAACCCCATGTTTTGGTTTTTGTAGTAGAAAAAAAAAATGTAGAAAGTAAGTTGCTCTTACTCTGAATAAATTACACGTGCACGTAAATGTAAATAAGTTATACTATTTAATGCAATTGCAAGTGTCTCACAATAATAATAAACATTTTTCATGTAAAATGTTTATTGAACATTTTACCTATTTTATTTTTGGGAAAAATATCATATTCGTTAGCAAACGATATTTTTTCTACAAGTACAAAATTCCTTTTCCGATAGGAACAAATAAGTGATATTTCTGTGTACCAAGAATTGATTTTGCAGAATCATATCGCTTTTTAAGAATTTCTTTTCATATGATTTTTTTCAGGACTGAAAAATACTATTGTTTCTGGCAAACTTTTTTGAGCCTATTTATACAGATCTTTGGCATCTAGAATTGGATTTTTTGATTTTGCCTACAAACTTGCGCGGGCAGCGAGTCTTTTTAAATTCCCACCAATGCCATCACAGAGGCCTTTACCGAGTGCTGTTGCATTAAAGTGCCACTCGGCTGAAATACCAAAATATCTTTCAAATTGCATAAGATTTTTAAAGTTGTACTTGTTTTTGCAATGTTGTAAGTTACAACTTGTAAATAGGGGTTTTGGTAAACTAACAAAAATAGTTTCATTGGTTGCTTGTAAATCAGGTATGCCATGACTTTTTTATTTATGCTGGGCAGAGAAATATTTGACATACATATGTCAAAACTGAATAATATTCTGCGGTTTTAGTTCATCGTTTTTTGCTGTTTTTTCTTAATTGTACTTAAAAAAAATATTGTTTGCTAACGAATATGATATTTTTCCCAAAAATAAAAAATAGGTAAAATGTTCAATAAAAAGTTTACATGAAAAATGTTTATTATTATTGTGAGACTTGCAATTGCATTAAATAGTAGAACTTATTTACATTTACGTGCCCGTGTAATTTATTCAGAGTAAGAGCAACTTATTACTTTCTACATTTTTCTTTTCGTCTACAAAAACCAAAACATGGGTTTTAATTGCTATTAATTTAAACTATTGCAATAAAATCGATAAGTTTAAGGAAAAACGACACAAGCGCCAAAAATAAAAATTTGGCGCTTGTGCTGTTTTGACTTAAACCCATCGAAAAATACATTTATTTCTATATAAAAATAATTTTAAAAGTTGTATTGACCCTCTCCAATTAATCCACTAAGTAGTAGACCGAGCACCGCTGCAATAGGTAGGTATACTATAGTAGCTGCTCGCCGCACGGTCCCTACGCGCTTCAACCCTTATTTTTTTCGACTTATTCTTGGAATCCCATCTTTATATTACATCAAAATTTAGGGAATTGAACAAGCTTTCTTTTGATATTAATTTAAAAAAAATCAAATATGTCGCATTTCGAGAAAAAAACAAATATATTTTTAAAATCGTTTTTTTATAACCAAAAAAATTTTTCTCGCTTTCGAGACCATTTTTATCGTAAAGCGTGGAAAAAATACTTTACGATATGTTGATTATCAATTTAAAAAAAAAATTATTATATACATGAATATTTCGACGTCTTTTAAG